TGACTTAACTCGTATTGTTTATCGGGATCAACCTAGCAAGCAATGCTCGTTAAGGCATCGCGACCAACACAGGGCACTCTCCTAACGAGTAGGACAAGCCGTCAAGGAATGGGAAAATAGAAAATTATGCAGAAAGCCCACATTGTTACTGCTCGATTGATGTACATGGCAATCGCAACGGGCACCCAAAAGGGCTAACACACCATACAAATGAATGCAAGGATGCTACATGCAACATGACACACACAAACGAGATGTACCGGTAAAACAGACTACCTAGAAAGAGGAATTACACTTGCTCGAGGACTCGGGGTGTCATGCAACTGGCAAACACCGGCTACAAGTGAGTTTGCATCGAGTAAAATGATACATATAAAGAGGAATTACCCCCTTCCCGAGAGACACTCACCGAGCACGCATGCAAACATGCAGGATGCAACATACATATGAAAAGTGCACCAAAGTGGTGAGGATGAGTACGTCGTAATGTCAGTGACTCAAAAGGAACGGGCATGCCGTAGCGGCAGCGGCCCAAAAGCTGAGTATGCCGAGGAGGCAGTGACCCAAGGATGTGCATACCGTAGCAGCAGTGACCCGAACAAATGGGTGTGCCAAGGAGGCAGTGACCCGAGGATGGGCATACCGTGACGGCAGTGGCCCGTGCAGGTGAGTATGCCGAGAGGTATTGACCCGGATGTGAGCATGCCATGACAGATGACGGCAGTGGCCCGAACAAAAGTGCAATGCAAACAAGTGATAACCTTCATGCAAACAAACAAGCAGACACATACACACAAACATGCAATACGGTCATACACAACATGCACTACGATCATGGACAACATGCAATAACATGCAAATTATCGGTCAACCGGGTCGTGGTGTTCGGTCGAGCCAAAGTGGCTGGTTGACTAGGCCGGAGCGGCCAATCCAACCAAAGTGATCGTTCGACCGAGTTGGGGTGGCCGGTTGAACCAAAGTGATCAAGTGATCGTGCATATAACATGCAATATGATTAACACGCAAAAATGCATCAAATGGTACATGCACCTGCATGAAATCCAACCGCTCAACGGCATGTCGAGCTCGTCCTAACGACCTCGCATAGGTACCTAGGGCTGACGCACTTGGATATGCGGCATCGCCGCCTCCGGCTTTGGCGTAGCAATGTGGAGGGTTTCCCCCTCTGATTTCTCGTATGGAAAACTCTCTACCGTTCCTAGGGCGGACTAGCTACAAAGATTTTTCCGCTCTACGAACGCCGATCTTATAGAACGGGCTAGCAACGAAGTTTTTCTCATGCTCTAAGATCGAACTCAACCGATCCCTCCAAAGGAGATTAAGAGCACCAAAACCGTAGGAAATTGGGATTTCAACCTGGCGGGATAAATATATAAGACTCACAACAAAGAAGAGACAGTCAGCTCTACGGTGGTGTTTGGTCACACATGAGAAGTCCTAACCTAAATGCTAGCTCTAGGAAATCGACAATCAATCACATAAGTATGTTGACGCGTCGGGTCACGCCGGCGCACGTACCCTGTCCGGGCGATCGAACTCACACGCCTAGACACCACTAAAACCTAGGGCCAGCTAGGAGTTAGGAAATCTTACCACCGTGACGGTTGCAGACGCGTTCTCTTTGCTTGCTCCAAATCGTCGATGTCCGGTCCATGCACCGACGTGCCTCGCAACGAATGAAGAATAAGCATAGGATTGAGGGTGAGAGAGACAAGAATCAGTGATGTATGCAAAGTATTTGAAAAATAAACATCAAATCATATTAAAATTCGACCGAAATGTATACCTTAGCAAGAAGGGTCGGACAGGGCTCCCAAATGTCACGACACCGTTTCCTTGCTAATGATTGGAGCTCCAGTGAGGGAGAGACTATGAGGTCATCGACTGCTCAAGTTGTTGGTCGCCAGGGGAAGGAAGTAGGCGAGGTCGTCGATGGTAGCAAAGTGTGGCGAGGCTGTCGGCCGAAGAGGTAAAGGGGCGGCATGCCAGTCGAAACCGAATAGCTTCGTCGATGATCAAATCAATTTAATCCAGTTTCGCCAGAGCAAGAGCTAAAGTCTAGCAAAACAACCTTGACAACGTGCCCCTCAACACTCATCAAAAGGTCTTGAATGGATGTCTTGCACCACTAGAATTAACACATGCATTAAGCAAGGTTTCATAGTTTTCGAGCGGACATCCTACACGTGGCATCCAAAAATTGATGCCAACAAAGAACCCCCAATAAGTGTGTTGCGCCACTGAGGCACAGTGCACTTGTTGGCAGCATCCTCAAAAAAAAGTCTCTCCTAGTAGTCGTGGTGACATCCCAAAAGAAGACAAAAAGAATCTCAACCAGGCTAAGTAAACTAAACAAGGTATTGTCAAAGGTGTGGCTAGCCAGTCAAAACCGGCAAACCACAAAGGAACCCAACCAGGCCAGTAAACTAGATAGGGTATTGCTTGGGTGGGGTTAGGGTGATGGTCAACAATCGAAGCTAACTGTCCACCAAAAAGCTCAGTCAGGCCAGATAAACTGGACATGGTATGGCTGAGAAAAGACATGCCTGACCTCACTCGAAACGACAGATTGATCTATCTGACCTATCTTTTGAAACGACATAATCGATGAAACCCTTCACCTAACCTCATTCGTAACGGTGGGGGAGAAGTCCCAATCATCTCGTGTGACCAAGCCTCCTGTTATGTTTCTCCTGAAAGGGACCCCGATGCGAGTCTAACTGATCGCTTTAAAAAGAAGCACCCATCACTTTAATCAGGTGGCTATAACGCACAAAAATTCTGATCAGAGGTGGCGATCGGCTAGTGTCTCAATAGTATGGTCGACCGAGAAGGTCTGATCATCCCTTGTGACCCAGGTCTCTTGTTGTGCTCTCACGCGAAGAACTGACTAGTAGGTTCTCCCGGAGAGTGGCACCCATCACGACAGTCCAGGTGGTCATAAAGACCAAGAAGTCCTGGTTGCAGTGGCAACTGTTCCAGTGACTCAATAGTATGGAAAGTTAAAAGGGTTCGAGCATCTCATGTGACCGCAGATCTCTCTTCTCTCGTATATGGGCTTTTGGCTTAGAGGCCGCCCCTAGTCGCAAGAGGTAACTACCCTTTGTCTAACCACATTCGAAGGGTCAGGGGTGGGAACCCGAAATTTGCCTATCTTATTTTGGATATGTGTTGGCCATAAATTCTAAATCATTTCAACGGTTTAAACTTCTATTAAAAAAATGGCTTGACATTTTGTAAAACCAATATCTATCCATCACCCTAAGTTTTGCTCGAACTATTTATAAATTTCTAAATTAATTGATTTAAATAGATAATTTATCTTATGCGTGTTTTCATTAATCTAGGAATTTTGTTGAAAAGAGGCTTATTTATTAATATATTTACTAGATAATCAAATGGACTTATATTCTCCATAATCATTCTACTTATCCAAACTTTTTCTAAAATACTTAATTGCTATTTTAACAAAAAAAAAATTAATTGCATGAAGTAGAAGATTGTTGGCTAAAATGGACGAAGTAATGGCATGAATACGCCCAAGTCAGTGATACGATAGCTAAGCTTTGGAGTGGATAGTAAACAAAGTCGCTGAGTAGTTTGACCAAGAGTTCGAGGGATTTATTGGATAAAGTCCAATGTGCCCAAGCCCTTGAAGAATGCTTTGTGTGGTCTTCAAATTAATAATTAAAAAATTTGATGCTTCTAATGAATTGAAGCAAGAATTTTCAGCTATGTGCTTATTTATAGAAAGAGAAGATTTTGTCTAATGTGAGTAACATTAATAAGATTAGAAAGAATCATCTTACTATTAGGATCGGGGATGATTTTGTCACTGATGTTTGTAGTAACAATCATCATTTGGAGTTGATTGGGATGCAAGGAGAGCGTGATGAGGCTTCATAAATGGAGAGTAGGATAGGTTAGCATGATGCCAACAATGAGTAGCAGTGTGACTTCCTTTGCTACATATCTGATTGGTAATAGTGTAATCGAAGAGTGATGACCTCCATTGTTTGAACTTTGAAGTACTATGAACGTTGAAGCTCAGACAGGGAGCACGGTGCTGGTGCCCTAGTAAAAGTGTGAGTGTCTGACTCTCAAGTTCAACCACGACCATGAGAAGTTAAAAGCACAAGATTGAAAACAGGAGACGATGTAATTTGTTATTGCTTGGAAGCATCATTAACTTAAGTAATTTCCTCCCCACAAAGGAGGGAGTAGAAATCATCTAGACTGATAGGTGTGAGAGGTGTGAATTGGCATATTGAAAGCTTGATAAGTGAATGGCAAGCCATTGAGTATATATAGATAGGCTCTACAGGATCAATGGTGGATAGGACAAAGCTATGTTGTCATCAATAACTTCCAAGAATTATTTAGCCATTTTTTGGGATTTCATAAAGGTTTTTGTTGTGCAAGTCATGTTTGAGCTGAACAGCCAAGGATCTATATGCGGACTGTAATCTTTTTCAAGTGTGTTGAGAATGTGTGGAAGTATAGAAGGGGGAGATTATTGTATAAATGGCTTCAGCAAGGTTCGGATAAGTGACAGTCCAAATGCGATAAGTGGGATTTCGAGTAGTTGATTGGACTCGGTGAGATTTAATTCTTTTGGATAGGGTATGGAACTAGTGAGGAAACCTTCAAGGCCGTTTTTGTGCAAGATTTTCTTGAATTTTAGAAAGCCATATGCAGTAGTTATCACTTCACTTGTTAGTTGAGTGGGAACAAATGGTTTTGACGTTGGACATCAAATACATAAGTTGAGGGCTAATGCTCATGCTCTCCATTGCAGTTTCTTCTGGTGAGAATTTTTTCAGGTTGCTGATGGATGCTTGAGGTCATAGTAGTAGAATAGTTTTTCAGTCTTACAGTTTCATTATGGTAATTTTTTTGTGTTATTGATATGAAGTTGAATATTGACGCTCAATTTGGTAAAAAAATAATTTCATAAATTTTCTTTAATCAATGTATAGGTGGATACTCACATGCACCTGATGAGTTGAACTATGGAGTCGATATGAAACATATAAGATGGTGTGGCATCCTCCAGGTGAAGCATGCTACTCGATTACTTTTTTCCTTGTCTGCTTAGTTTTATATCTAATCTAAATTTTTCTTCCATAGAGAATTGCTCTTGCATATTTGGTGGTGGCTCTACTGGAAATTTTTTCAAAGAGTACCGAAGTTCAGGAAGACGCACGTACAGGATGGTCAGTGTTTAAGATATATTATTGGCAGTGGTAAGCAAATTTCTTATTTTATCTTTTCGTAAGCAACTTAAAAATAGTCTTTTTTCTGGAATGTAGAACACAAGTTATAAGAGCGAGTGTGTGTGTGATGTGTATGCTGGTCAAATCAATAGGTAATTTGGTTTTCTCTTTTTTTCTCCATCTACTAATGTTTGTTAGGGAAATTCCTGGTCAAACAATACATGTTTAACTTTTTGGAAATTCCTGCTCTGCTACTTTTCTAAGATACCCTCAATGAATGAGAATGTAATTATTTAAAATCAAGGACTATTAACTTTCTTTTGAATTTTATTAGGATTCTGGGTGCATGCATCCTTGTGATCTACCTCACCACAATTTATGCGACATATGTTCCTGACTGGCAGTTCACTGTCCATAATACTAATAGTGTGGACAATGGAAAAGTCTTCACGGTAATTGGATGGCTGCACTTTTCCTCAAGTAACATATTTAAGGTGTTATTGTTTGAAAATATACCATACTAATGGAATATTCTTCTATGCAATTTACAGTATTGTTATGCATGTCTTTTATTGTTCAAACGTTGGAATCATTATGAATGTTTAGGTTGTATGTGGTACGAGGGGCAGATTGGATCCTCCATGTAATGCTGTTGGATATATTGATAGGCAAGTGCTGGGAATTAATCATATGTACCAACGTCCTGCCTGGAAGAGATCTAAGGTGTCATTTCAAAAAATTCTGACTATGACTGATTGAATTCCTTGTGCTTAATATTTAACAATTATTGATGGATAAATAGCATTGATGTTCTTATCATTTTCAAGTGTTGCAGGCTTGCACTTACGATTCTCCCCATGAGGGTCCATTTCGGAGAGATGCTCCTTCTTGGTGTCAGGCCCCATTTGATCCTGAAGGGATACTTAGGTGTGTTTTACTGGATTGTGTTTTGAACTTTTTAGTAATTTAGCTTCTTATGTTTCAAGTTTAATGAATCGTCATCTGCAGTTCTCATTTTCATTAACTCCTTTAATCATCTTTGTAAATAGATTTTATCTTTTGATTGTCTTACAATCACATATCTGTTGTGGTAAACTTTCATTATGACTGCTAGTGAATGATAACCAACTGGCATTTGATTCCTTTTGTGAGTAATGCTAACGTTGTCCTTAGTATATACTCTTGTGTTTAAGAAAGGGCAGACCAAGAGCTTGCCTCCATTATGACCTATATGTGACAGATTCGAATCACAGAAACAACCTTTCCTTTAGTGCTAGGATAAGGCTGCTTACTTAACCTCTTTTAAGACTTTATCTGTCTGAAAGCATCATGTTTTTGGTACTTATTTTTCTTTTTAAGGTTTAGCTTTACTTGCAAATTCTTGCATTGAAAGTTGTATGCATTTTTTTTATATTTTTCTCAATTGATATAACCTAGTCCTATACATATTTGCTTATAATCATTGTGTCTAGATATTTTCCATGTGCGGTGGTTAGTGGGTAGTAGGTTGGTTGAATGAAATAATTTTTATTGCAAATATAAGAAGAGATTGTCACAAAATATATGAAAATGTGCAACGTCTTATGGAACTATCAAATTACTAAAAGAAAGCTATAGGACCTTCACAATAACATCCCCTTACTAATTTCTGCTGAGTTGCTTGCTTCATGATAAAAAAGATTTTAATTCAAATATTAGTTCTGGGGCTTGTTTTTTTTTTAATGCTTTTAGGATATTTTTATTCTAATTATTTTGCTTTAGTTCATAAACATGCCTCTATCTGATCGAGTTTAATTAACAAGTTCCATCTGCTCTGCATAGTTTCCAACTTAGATGACTCAATTTAACTAGACTGATCGCATTCTTTGTAGATGGTCCGGCTTAACTTACTGCCTTTTCTGAATGATCCTACTTAAACTACTCACAATGGTTCTAGACAAACGTAAACAATGGCTCCATGATCAAACTTTCTGAGGCCTAGTGGAGAAGTTGTCAATGAAGAGGCTTCACAATACACATCAACCTCAAACAGTCCTTTGATTGAATGTACTCACCTTTCACCTACATTCAACTAAAAAAAGGGAAAAAAATAGAAATAGAAAAAGAAATGAGAAGTATTTGCTTAGAAAATGCAGTGTAACTTTCTTAAAAACAAAGGAGATGGACCGAATCTGACCTACATGGAGGTCCTTTGAGCAAAGAACCTGTCTGCACACCTCATTGAACGCCTAAGAGTGGCTATAGCTAAAGAAGGTTTGAATTAAGTTATAGTCCCACAAGGATGATGTTGTTCAAATTTCAATAGCATTAGTGTTTGAAAAGTATCCAACCCAAAACATCAAACTTGTGAGACTAGCCTTTGATGAAGCGACAAATCCAAGACTCAATCTCATTTTCATTAATGCCTTTAATCATCTTTCTAAATAGATTAAATGAGCCCTGCCCGACTTGTTTAGATCCTCTCGTTCTTCCTCCCAGTCTCCCTTATTTTATTATAGTTAATTGTTGTAGCTTGCATCCCTCCTCACCAGTTAATTGAGTTATTTCAAGGTCATTTTTAGTGGCATAGGTCTTATTGTATGCAGACTGACCAAATAAAAAAGGTGATGCCTTTTGGCTGGATATTTTCATCAATATAAGTTAAGATTTAAAATAATGGTTTGTTTGGATAAGTTTAAGTTCAAATTTTGGTTTAATTTGGATCAATGCTTGTTTTCTTAATTATCTAAACTAGCTTAATATTCTCACTCAGTTCCCTTCATTTTCTTCATTTCTAAGTTTTATAAATATGAGAGATTTTGCATAAATTGCATTGTGATTGTTTGGACCAAAGATGTTTCAGTTATGTTGGAGCCCTTCATGTAACTCTGTAACATACTTCAGGAAGAAAGATATCTCATTGAAAGAGATGCTTAAGTCATAATTTTGTTTTCTATATTATGTCCTATATTCTTGCACCTACTTTTCATGTCTCTCCCATAGTTGTTTCCACTAAGGCCCCGTTTGAGGCGGCTTAATGCCTGCGGTGCAGCCCGAGGCAGTTGGGCGTGCGTTTGATAAAAGCGGTGTGTCTACTTAATTGGATAATTTGGAGGAAAAGCGAGCCGTGGTTTCGACCCTGCGGCCTGCATTCATTCGCTAATAATTGACGGGGCTACCCCGATGAAACACTCACGATTCTCTACGTCTTTGTCTCTCTTGCAATTCTTACCCTAACTTTCCTCTTGCGATTCTTGCGTGGCTCCCTCTCTCACCATTCTTGCACTAACTTTTCGGTGGTTGTTGTGGTGAGCTTTCCATTCTTCCTCTCCCTCTCCCTCTCTTCTCTGTTATTCGGCTCGGTTTGGATCATTCCTTCTCCTCTCGCCTCTGTTCCGGTATTCTCTACCTTAACTATGATATGGTTTTTTATATTGCAAACACGTGCAATGATTTTCTTGAGTTCTCTGTGCTCTTATCCTTCGATGGCTTTCGGTTTTTATTGGATTTTTTATGTTTTTTGGATTTTCTGTGATATGCTCAGATGATGATTTGGTTTTTCATGCTACATCCTATTGATGGACTTGGTTTCTATTCGCTCTATTTTGTTGATTTTGTTGGCCGAAAGTTGGTAGTGGTGGTGATTGCATGTGCAATAATTTGAAAATACAAATGGCTAATTTGAACGTATATGAGCCATATTTTGGTGTGGAGAGCTGGTGGTGGTGGTGGTGGTGGTGGTGGTGTAGATGGATTGGTTTGAGGAGGTGTTGGTGTGTAGAGGTGGTGGTAGTGGTGTTGTGGATGAGTTGTTGTATGGAGGTGGTGGTATTGGTGGTGTGGATGTGTTGGTGTGTGGAGGTGTCGGTGTGTGGAGGTGCTTGTAGTGGCGTTGTGAATGTGTTGTTGTGTAGAGGTTTTGCTGTGTGGAGGTGGTGGTTGTGGTGGTGTGTATGAGTTGGTGTTTGGAGGTGTTGGTCTGTAGAGGTTGTGGTAGTGGTGTTGTGGATGTGTTAATGTGTGGAGATGGATGAGTTGGTGTGTGAATGTGGGGGTGGTGTAGTGATGTAGTGTGCAGGTTATTTTGTAGACATTGATAATAATATTATGACATTGTTATTTTTCTTTGAGTTGTGATAAATATTTTTTATGGCAAATATTCATATTGATTAGTTTTTTCATGCTAGTAATACAATGGATTAGACAAAAAAGGCCGGTTCATCTGTTATGTGGGATAAAGATACGAAAATAATATTTTGCATATTTTACCTTAAGGAGCTCGAATTAAGAAATAGGCCAACCACCTCTTTTAATAAGGAGGGTCGGCATAATATTATTAAAACGCTCAAAGAAAGTACAGACAGGGATTATGATAGGATGCAATTAAATAATAAATGTTATTAGCTAAAAAAGAATTGAAAAACTCGGAAAGAATTAAAGTGAAGATCCACGGGTTTGGGTTGAGATTCGATAAAACGAACAATTGATGCTATGGAGAAATTGTGGGCAAAGAGATTGGAGATGATCATTTATGAAACATCCATTGCTTATATTAATTTTTCAATTTTTCATTTTTTTTAGATGCATCAATATATTCTATGACTTTGTAGGTGGCGTCAAATGCAAAAAAAATTAAATACAATTGCATCGAGCCTGAGCTGGAAGAGAATTTAGATTGTATGTTTGCTGGTGTAGTGACAATAATGCATGCTCTCCTAGTGAGGTAGGATTTAGTGGCATGGCTGAAAACTTGGATGCTAAACAAACAGGTGATTCCAATGAATGCCCTAGCTTGAACATTAATGAAGTTGAATCTACTAGCAGACCAAAGCATCCTAGGGTTGAGAAAAAAAGGTGGGTGTTGCTTTCATTAGATAAAAAAGAGAATTCGTACTATACTACTAATCATTGTATTAATTTCAGATAAATATTATTTGGTCGATGCTGGATATCTATTATAAAGAGGATATCTGAAGTCCTATCCTGATACGAAATGTCACATACCTAACTTTGAGAGAGCCAGCAATATCACTCGATGCGGGAGAAAAATGTTTAACAAGAGACACTCCTTATGCGGTGTCATTGAAGGACATTTGGAGTTTGAAAGAAGAAATGAGTCATGCTATGCGATATGCCTACATATCTATTTCTCAAGCAAGTGCAGATTACGCTTGCCATGATGGCTTTCCACAACTATATTCGGCAACATTATTCTCGTTATGACATTGACTTTAGTAGGGTTGATGAAGATCATTAACATGTCTCTACTGTGTCATATGGATATCGTCTTGGACAATCTTTATCATAAGCCGAAATTGGTGTGTTCGAGACTTGCACTCAAGGTGAGGAAGGTGCAAACGAGATGGTAGCGTTTAGGAAACGAATTATAGATGTTGTAATTGGGGGCTGAATGGAGAGAACATATATTTTTTGTTGTTATTTTATTTGTAATGTGTGTTGAAAACATTTATACAAGTCATGTATATTTCTTTTTTTATGCATTTAATGTTTATTGTATCAATATTTTATACAAGTCATGTATATATTTTTTCCTTATGCATGTATTCTTTCCCGCTTTGATGGTCGATGAGGCAATCGCGGGTAATAGACATAATCTAAATATTGTATTTTTCTTAGGAGGTCTATGAGAAGACATTCAATCTCAAAGGGTTCTTCTGAATGGCCTATATGGGCTATTGGTTCTTGTGACATCTAAAATCCCAATGAAGGAAACTAAGTTTCTCTCATTTTTCAATGTTATGATTATTGAGGTTCTTCTAGACGGCCTTTTTTTTTGTGATACACACACTAGTTTTGTATTATGTGGGTTAAAGGCAACCAATAACCTTTTTTTGTAAGGTTTGTTGTCTTTTTGTAGTGACAAATTCGTTAGTTTATATATTGTATTCGCTAAGACCTCAAAACTACATAAAATTTAATTGATTACT